TTTCACAAAACGTTCTTTGAGATATTCTTCCGCATGCTTATACACAATTTTTCGGTACGTGTGCATTGATATTATCAATGATTTTTTACTTATATATATATATCTAACTACAAAACATTTTCATATTATTAATTTATGTTGTAAACAAAAATATTTTTATCAGTATTCATTGAAGAGATGTATTTATATCAAACGATAAGGAATGTTATTTTGCACTCGTTTATGTGCGCGTATTTATCATGTTTATAGATCGGTTACAAACCCAAAACTAATTTACATAATGGAAATCTAAGCGATAGCAATACATCGGAATGACCTCAAGGTCATCGCGATGTAAAAAATCACAATATAACAAACAACAGAACACAAAACAAAAACGTTGAAAATACAGAAAGTGAGCTTCTGATCTTTTAATTATGGAAAAACTACTATTTTGTTAAATTACTTGAAACAACATAATAAAACAATTATTAATATGCCATCATTTTAGTTTTTGTCAACATTGAATACATTTCTTGTACAAATTTTAGTCATTTATACCATTGTTAGAGGTTCTTTAACAGCAACCCTTAACACAGAAAGAGATCCTATATAAAAAGTAGTACTTAACTTTTATAATCTGTTTATTAACAGTGTACCTTAAAGAACACAGTGATAGATCCAACATGAAATGCCTCTTTACTTTAATAATCTTTGTTTATTAACAGCATACCTTAACACAAAGATAGATCCTAAATGAAATAGTACTTAGCTTTAATAAATCTCTGTTAATTAACAACAACCCTTAACACAGGGAGACATCCTACATAAAATGGTACTTAACTTTTATAATATCTGTTAATTAACAGCAGCCCTTAACATAGAGAGAGATCCTATATGAAATTGTCCTTAACTTTAATAATCTCTGTTAATTAACAGTGACCTTTATCACAGGGAGATATCCTACATTTTTGTACATGAAATAGTTCTTAACTTCAATAACCTCTGTTAATTAACAGCGACCTTTAACACAGGGAGATATCCTACATGAAATAGTACTTAACTTTAATAATCTGTTTTTGAACAGTGTACCTTAATACAGAGATAGATTCTACATGAAATGCTTTTTTTTTAATAATCCCTGTTAAGTAACAGTGTACCTTAAATGCTTCTTTTTTTAATAATCCCTGTTAATTAACAGTGTACCTTAACGCAAAGATAGGTCCTAAATGAAATAGTACTTAGCTTCAATAAATCTCTGTTAATTGATCACAACCCTTAACACAGGGAGATATCCTATATAAAATGGTACTAACTTGGGTAATCTCTGTTAATAAACAGTGAACCTTAACATAGAGAGAGATCCTACATGAAATTGTCCGCAACTTTAATAATCTCTGTTATTTAATAGCGACCTTTGACATAGAGAAAAATCCTACATGAAATGGTACCAGAAATATTTTTGCTAACATTAGTTCTGAACACAATGTGAAACGCTACATAAAATAAAACCCTAACTTTTATTTTAATATTGATTAATTTATACTGACCTAAATACAGTGCTCCTTTAAGAAGATAATTATGATGTTTGCAGGATTGTCAGAGAGACCCTATAAATTTTGTCATCTCAATTCAGTAGAAGCCATAATAATTAAAAATTCTAACCAGTATTAAGTTGCCAAATCTTTCTCACTGAATTTTCCAATTTTCCTTATACATCTCTGTTGAACACTATTGTTATGTATGATTTTTTTAACATTATCATGCAAAGTTTCAATATGTTTAATGTGTGAACTTATGAAAAGCTTTTAGTTTTGGAACAAAACATAATAACTTTGCAATACATTTGTATTAGAACTTTACTGGCTTGTTTTGCGGAACCTTGCTTAAAATGAGATTTGTTACATACAGTCCAAGGGACACAACTCAAACACAGCAAATGCTATAACTGCATTTCAATACTTTATTCGTTCAGGGTTATCCTCAAAATATAGCATGTATGGCATATCATGTACAAACTTGTGTAGAAATGGCCTGAATCAGGCTCAACCTGTATTTGTGGTTTATAGAATTCTTGCTTATAATTCATTATTTGTTTGGTCATTATTCTCTTTTCTGCATATATGTGAGCCAAATTTTTTTAATCCTGAGAAAAAAAGTTCCAATGGAATAAATATCACAGGAAATATATATTCTGGGAGAACTTTTTTCATAATATAATTTCTATATAATTTTTTCCATCTCTATAAAATAAGTTCCACAATTGGTGAAATAAGTTCTGGGTTTGAGAAATTTGTTCATTACCTGGTGTAATCAGTTCCGGGTTTGTGAGATTTGTTCCTTACATGATAAGTTCCTTGTCTGTAAAATATGTTCCACTGGTTATACAAGTTATCTTTAATACTGAGCATTGTCATCAGTGAGTTTAAAGATATCATTCAAGTACATTATAAAAACATGTATTACATTGATAATGTATTAAATCAAAAGTGTAAACATCCAATATGGATCCTTTGGAGTATACTCAATAAAAAATACCCAAATGACACTAATGAGGCAGAAAAGAAGATAATAAGAAAAATCACTCAGAAAAATTTTATAGTTAAAGATGAACATTTATACTATGTTCAAAAGGACAAAGTGACTGATTAATTAATTAAAAGACTTGTAGCGACAAAAGACAAACTCAGGATTTTTTTGAAAATGTGCCATGACCAAGACATAGTGAGCATCAAGGTGTAAACAAAACTGTAAACAAGATAACAGAATGATACTATTGTAAAGGCATTGTGTTTGATACTACAGAATATGTTCAACAATGTGGAATTTGCCAAAAACAAAACAAGATTGTTAAACCTGCAATCCTAGAGCTCCACATCTGTACTTGTTGGTAGCGATTTTGGGGGAAGATAGGAATAGATCTGATTGGACCATTTTCTGAACTTTTACTATTGGAACATGCAGCAGTGATTTTTGTTCTTGAACTTATTTCACACTTGGTCAAAATTTTACAGTGCTGGAACATATTTCCTTATAGTATATATTCAGGGTATAAATTTTCTGTGATATATATTCAGTGGATTATCTTTCCAATGAAATAAGTTCTGGCGAAACAAATGTACTGCCGGAACAAATGTCACGCCAGAACCAATTTTTTGTTACATATACCCCATCCAGACCCTCTTACATATTTATTTTAATACATAGCAGTATATGTTTACTGTTTAATTCTAAAAAAAACAAACTATAAACTATAATTATAACTTTTATAAACATAATCAAAGGGCTTATTACATGAATATATATATATGTAAAAGACTGTATATAAAACTCAAACACTCATGTATTTTATAGAATTAACTCTAATGATATTATAAATCCTCTGGTTAAAGAATCGCTACAACAAATATAAATTTTAACACATTCTGCAGGAATTTATTCTCGGTACTCATTTGCAGATAAATTTTTATGAAAATAAACCCAGAAAATTTTTATGAAAATAAACCCAGAAAATTACTCTAATACTAATGTATCTTTTAAACAATCAAAAAAGTGTTAAAATGTAATATTAAAAAGTGTGTTTCAGAAGAATATGAAAAAACTACTTTAAATAAACTTTCAAAATTGGATTCCTCATCCAAACTTTGTCTTTATGGGAAATTAAAAACTAATAGACCACTTTCGAGTTATGTCCTTCACCGGAAAAGTTCGTCAATTTTGTGCGCCTTTGTGACGTCATTTACCAGATAGGGGGGATCGCTTGTATCCCTGCTCTATTAAAGTTCATCAAGTGTCTTTGTGATCGTCATTATGCAGGATACACTAGAAATAATATTTTTTCCGTAAGTACTTAATCACATTTCCCTAATGATAGCAGTGCTGAATATCAATTATAAGAATTTAATTTGCCGAATAATTCGTGCAATATAGCATTATTATTTTTTTAACCAATCCCTCAACATAGGAACGAAAGTGACGACGCCCTTAAACGCACAAATGATGTTCACTAAAACCAAACTTTTTGACGGAAATGCAAAGAACTCGAAAGTTGTCTATTGTCAGTCTGAGGAATATTTAAATTGCAATAATTTTATACATAGGCAGTTACTCTCAAAATTTAGACTTTAATAGTGATCATTCCCTAGGCATTGAATTGGGAAGACATAGAAACATTCCAAGAGCACAAAGATTATGTAAAAAATGTGGAGTCCTTTCTTTTTGTATTATGACATTAACATAGTATGTAAAAAATGTGGAGTCCTTTCTTTTTGTATTATGACATTAACATAGTGTGTAGTAAATGTTGTAGATACTTAGTCAGCCGTAAGCGGTTGAGCTAAGGAAGTACTTCTTTTGCTCAGTCAGTATAGGCGCTGACTTGTAACACAGAGGTCCAGGGTTCGAATTCCGGTGGAGACAAAGATGATTTTGTATGTTGAACCATGCTCTCCGGTTGCGTTTAAATTTTTTTGCTTATCTAAAATACTATGTACCATTATTTCAACATCTTGATGCATTTAATAAACTAAAACACATTCTTAACCCCACCCCTTGCGATCTTGTTTGTCATATTGGAGTCTTCATTAAGCAGTCTTTAGAACTGAGGGCCAGGTCAGACAAGCTTATGTTTGTGTTTTCCCTAAATTTGATAATTGAACTCTTAAAATATGTTCTATTGTATTGTATTGCATTGTATTGTATCTAACTGTATTTAATTGTATCATTGTTTGTTTGTATTGCTTGTCCCTTATGGGTGTAATTTTGCAATAAAGATTATTATAAAGAAAATAAGATTAAGCTGATTCGCACACACTTTCACAGAATACTCTTAGATCTATGGAGAATCCTGTTGCATGATACCTGGGAAAAGTATACTAACATATGTCCCAGATGATACCATACACCTGGATGTTGTCATTTTGCAAATCATCAATATAAACATTGCCATTTAAATTTCCCTGGTTTCGCTATGTAACACGTGATCATTTCAAATCTAAAATTAGTAAAGGGTATTTCCAATATTAAATCAACATTACGGATTACCCTTTCTTGGTTTCTCCTTTATAAAGAACTGCGAAATACTGGTGAAAGAAGAGTTTTACCAAAGAAAAGTTTGTACATTACTTGTTTCAGTTATTATTAAGTTCTCGCTCAATGATTTTCCATGCAGAAAAAATCTTTCATGATAAAATGAAACTGAAAGTTAGGAATGTCGTTTGTTCCAATTCTACAAAGACCTCTTTTAGTTTCCTTTTTTATTTCATACATTGAGCCCGATAACAACATATTTGGTGTTGTTAGTAAGTATTTGGTAACCACATGACATTGAACAGTTTCTGTGAACTATATATTTTTAAGATATTATGATTTTAAGTCCCAGCTGAGTGGGAACAGAGACATATAATACAATTATATGTCTCTGGTGGGAATAAATCTTATACTTTATACCATCCTAAAATCAGACATTACCTAAAATAATACCTTTTGGTATTCTGAGTGTGAAGTGATTTGTGGCCAAATCAGAAAATCATTCAAAACTCAGAATCCCAAAAAGACTCAGAGGCGCCAAAATCAGAAAATCGCTCAAGACCCAGAATCCTCAGGGATTATACATTCAAGGGGATACAAGACAACTCGTACCTTCCGCAACTCATACTCAACCAACTGGTACCCTATTTTTACCAACTCGTACCCATAATTTATAATTATTTATATTTATATACATTATAGTTGTTATATGATAATATAGCAACATATAAACGAAATAAAATATAAATTAGATGCAATCATAATTGTTTCAAATAAATCAAAACTAATCAAATGCTATTAAATCATTAGTCCATAGAATTTTTTTGATTATACGAAATTGTTTGAACGGCAATTTATTTGATGCATATTAGATATGCATATTAGATAATTATAATCATACAATTTACTATAAATCAGTGATCATTAGTGGATGATAGTCATAAAAAATAGAATGGGTTTGTTTAAATAAGAAATAAATATTTATAAAAACAAAAATTATCAAAAAACGTTTCTACATCCAAAATTTATCAACGAAAAACACACATAATCCATCCACTTATATATGCATAAATACTAGTTTTTTTTCTCTCCCAAAAAACACCAGTAAAGACACAAATAAATATCCTTTCAACCACACTACAAGAAAGACACAAATGAATATCGTTTAAACCCCACTACAAGAAAGAAGTGAATATCCAATGACTTAAAACATAAATTTGGATGAACTTTATTCAAGATCTTTTTATAGTAATTATAATTCTAACATTCATAAATTAACTTTGTTAAGTGAGTAGATTGTCAGCTTGATCATAAACTTAGCCTGTAGATTATTGGGTACAACAGTGGAAAATGAAAAGAAAATCATTACAAATTGAAATAAAATTCCTTATATGTTATAATCAAAAGATTTGTTCTTCATATTTAAGGTGTATTTTGAGTTAACGAAAGTCCAAATTACTGTCCATTCCTGAGAAATAATAGACAGTTATTTGGACTTTCTCTATAACTTAATGTATTGTTATTCTTATCTGTTATTTATATATATATGGTATCTAATAAATATATATATAAAACATTTGGACTTTGTTTTATTCATAAGCAGGCTTTATGATTTCAAAAGGATTTAAAAGTATTCTTTATATATATATATACAACAAAAAAAACCCCACAAAATTCAGTAAAAAAATGTACTATCAGTAGATCAATTACAAAATAATTATAACAATTAAATTTTAAATATAACCTTATAAATAAAACACTATCGTGCTAACAAAATATTAAGTACATGTTGCCGAAGGTATGAGTTGACATGTATCCCTAAAAGGGACTCCCTGGACTTAATTTGATTGGTCCAACTCGGGTGAGTAGAGTTTGTAGAGTTTACTCAATAATAAATACTGTTATATTACAGAATATCTCTTCCATTTGGAACTTATGTTATAAAGGAACTTATATTTCATGACAACAATATTCTATACCCTCTATTCTGTCAGGAACAAATACAACAAAATGTACTGTTATATTACAGAATATATCTTCCACTTGGAACTTATATTTCATGACAATACACCCAAACAGACTTATACTACCAAGAGTAAAAGTAAGGATACTCTTCATAATACAGCAAACACACTTACCAGTAGTCTATAAATTTCATTTTTTTTTTATAAATAAGAAAATTGGGTTATTGAATTAAGTAGATAATAGTGTGAACAAATTCAAAAATAAAAGTACAATAGAAAAATAAACAATCTAGCTTTCATTTAAAATCTTAAAAGTGAAAGATCTCATCACACAAAAAAAACCCACCAAAAACTCAATATATGTGGAGAAAAACCCAACAAAAACCTGATATTAAAAATAAAAATAAGCATTATTCAGAAGACCTGAATCGAATTTAGTTGAAATTCAGGTGCATTGACTTTATATTGTTTACATCCGTTGTTTTTGGATGATATTGTCTCAATAGATATACCCTATGGCCCGAGAACACAGTTATTTCGTAGTGCATTTCTTTTAGACAAAAAACGCAAATTAAAACAATCTCACCTGCGATATCCAAAAAATATTTTTACAGTGTAGTGTACTACTTTTGGGACAAATTATATCAAAATTATAGAAAAGTCTATCGGCTCTAACTCAAAATATGGATAATTTTATGTTAAGGGGGTCTGTAATTCAGTTTGACAGCTTCAGACATACTAATTTTTGACCTTTTCAAACTGGACCAAATCACTACTTTACCTGAAAATTCATGCCCCAATTTTTTTTAAATATTATTTCATCCCCCTACTTACTATTTTATGCATAAAATATATAGAAATAAATTTGTAAGGCGTATGAAAAAAATTTGCAAGTTATACACTGTCCACACTAGGGACTCTATTTGTAATCAAAGGACCATAACTGTGTCCCCAGACCTAATATATATATATATATTTAATATAGAACTTTTACAGAACAACATGCTAGATACACATTACAATAAGAAATGAATATTAGAAATGTATACTTAACAAAGCACAATGAATGCAATAAATAAGAACCATAGCATTTGGTAATAAAAAGAAAAAATCATATTGGTTGAGGCAATTTATGACCATCAAACCTCAATACATCATTACAAATCATTTTCTATGTCATTGTTTAATCCACCGATGCAGAATTTCACTTTCTAAAATCTATTTTTTCTCTTGCAGAGAATTGACAACTATAATAGTGTTTGGCGAGAGGTGCTTTATTATAATAATGCAATCATATATATAGTTATACCAAACATGGTATCAATAAGCTACAATGAACAAAGTGTCAATATGAAGCACCTGAAGTTCTGAACCCCAATGTGGGTAATAATAAAAGTAATTAGAAAAAAATCAACAACAAGGAAAAAAAAATTAAGTACATAATAAAAAGTGGCTGGAACATGCTCTCTTGCTTAAAACCACATGTTAATTAAAACCCGGATGAAGTAACAAGGAGAAGCAATCTTGTACAAGGCATTATCAATTAGGTACAATGAGAGTTACCTCCCATTGTACGCAATTGACAACTATAATAGTGTTTGGCGAAAGGTACTTTAGTATAATAATGCAATCATACATAGTTATATTAAACATGGTATCAATAAGCTACAATGAACAAAGTGTCAATATGAAGCACCTGAACCCAAAAAGAAGTTGCCAAACCGAGGGGGAGAAAAAAAAAAAAAAAACACAAATACAAAATACAAAAAAAATCAAAAATATAAAAATATAAAAATACACCGACACACATACCCTGAAACTGACTACCAATCAAATAATTCATGGCTGAGGAAACTTGATACATATCAACACTGGCTTGTTTAATGTAAGTCTGAAAACAGTCAGATCGCCAATCTCCATCATGTTTAAATAAAATCTCGGGAATTCCAGCCTTGGTGGCTAACGTAGCCCCTCCGTGCCTCAAGGAATGAAAAGAATAAACTGAAGGGTCTAAACCAACAAGAACAATTTAACTCTCTGAACCTACCAACAAAACGGATCTAGATAAAGGCAATAATTTTCCATTGACAGATAAGGCAAACACGGGAGCATACTTATCACCAGGTATTAAAGTCACAAGATGTTTGTAAGCTTGAACAGGGCATATTAATGGCTCGACTGAGCAACATAGAGAAACCTGATGTGTGAAATCATGATCTTGTCTAGTCTTTGACCATTTGAATAAAAGAAGGATACCCCTATCACTAACAACAACATTCTTTCTGATCAATTGTTCACGGGAATTAAAAGAAGCAGATCTTCTGCTGACCAGATTTGACGCCCTAAGCAAACCAAAAAAAGCAAACGTTAGAAAACACCATAAACAAGCATCGACATAATCATAAATATTCAACAACCTAACAATATCAATTAAATGTGTCGGTAACAATGGCAATTTTGACACAGCCACGTGCTGATTCTTATGGCTCAATCCCCTTAAAGTTAATTTCAAATCTGTAGATAAAAAAGGTTCCACAGTAAAACCAAACAGTTGACTCCAGGTCTTAATGCCAGAAATATAATTCTTTACAGAAGGAAAACTGCGTCAACTCTGATAAAAAAACATGCGTAAGCACACAAGGTATCCTTAATACAAGGAAATGGTCGAAATTTATAAAACACACAAAAAATATGGTATGCATTGAGTTGACTCTTCAGATTAGAATAAGTACCAGGTCTATAGGCTGCACCCTTAGCAAGCTTGACCTCTTTCTGTAAAACTGCTCTTCTGGACTTAAGACCTGGAAGTCACAACACAACAGTAATTAGATAAACAACAATGTCATATTCATTATCATAGTTACTCTTATCACCAATTTATCACTAAAATAGTATAAATGTATCATGTATGAACACTTAGATATTAATGATATCATTAAACATGTGACTAAACACTTCTTACTCGACAAAATCTGAATTGTACATCTTAGATTCTATGAAAAACTGTGATCTGCTCTTCTCCGAAAGATTCCAACAGGATAGCAAATCTGATAACCTATTTTCAACAGATGCTATATAACTCACACGCAATTGAACATTACTTGTCGCACACAAGTACCATATTTGACGTGTCAAATTCAACATTTCCTGATTACGTCCTGATCCCCCATTTAAAATTTCAACACATGCTTGATCGTCACAAAACAGCTGTACCCGTTTATTGGAGATACCTAAGATGTCCAAAATTGAATTGCTATATAAATCGCATACATTTCAAGCACAGATATGTGCATGTCCCACAAAGACTCCGGTATGTCCGAATAAAAATATTCAAATGTCATAAAGTTGACACAACCAATACCCTTGAGACAAGCGTCAAAGGAAATAATTGCGTCTGGTGAAGACCAATCTACACCAGGAATTATACTAATTCCATTATAGTCATGTAAAAATGATAACCACCACCTAATGTCTTGTCTAAATTCATCTGTGATATGAACACGATAATGATTGAAATGGTATTTTTGTAATGTCTGTAACATGCGTGAAATAAAAAGTCTTCCGCTTTGGACACATTCGGAAATAAATGCTAACTTGCCAATAACTTCTTGTAACTGACATTTAATGCAATGTTTTTTTCCAGGCAAATCTTTGTAACAACTCATAAGTCTCTTGCAATTTAGTCTCTGGAATTTGAACTGTCATGTCAATTGAGTTATACTCCTTGCCGAGAAATGTCAAAACTTTTGTTGGCAGCAAACACTTTTCTTTGCTGACGTCTAATCCTAACCTCTGAAACAATTCTAAAACAAAATTATAGTCATGTTCAGCGTTCAGATTGTCACTAACATCACAAAAATCATCAACATAGTTAATTGTTAGATTGTTAGATGTAAGATGTTAGATTTCCATATCATATAGGAAACAGCATTCGTTGTTCATTGACAGGCCTGTGGTGAAGAGCGCATACCAACAATAAGACGGTTGTCAATAAAAATTTGTCCCCTCCATTCATAACCTTGTAAATGTAAGTCATGTGGATCTAATACTAGTTGCCGGAGGGAGACAAATCCAATTTCCACATGGCACACTCACGACCGTGATTTAAGAGCAAAGCCATGAATTCTTCATGTCTAGGATAATAAAGTTTAAAATTCTCAGTCAAAAAGGTGTCAGAAGGGATTCTCTCTTTGAGAGAAGCTCTACTGTGATAGTCGAGTTTGACATATTTATACACCATTATTGCAAAGATTTCAAACTCCTATGGTTTGATTTACTTTGTGTATCATATAGATCATAGCATAGACCAAGAGGGTCATAAATGTTGGTTATTTATGGTTCTATAACCTGAAGATTATTACACTAGGAAAAGAAACCAAAAGGTCTATAGTATTTTCCTTATTATTTTCTCATGTTTCTGTAGGATGGATAGAGATGACCGAAGACGTTACTTTATTGTTGGTTCTGTTATAGTAGAGATAGTTACACCAGCTTTCAGACAGAGGCTAGAGAATGACTACAAAAGTAAAGGGTTAGGATGTCTACAGGATTTCATCAACAGTAAACCTGTCATACACATCCTGTTTCATCTCCGCCATAAAAATACCCAGTGTTGTGTGGACAGTACCAACTGTGTAAATCATGGTCCACTTCCTCTGAACCACAGCCAATGGGACCTGCTGTACACTGGACCACCAAATCATCACTGTTTCTGCAAGTTTACAGCCAAACCTGTCACACTGGATGAGCTTGACATCACCTTGGCAAGTCTGATATTACTGAACTGTTGTACTTTATCTGTCAATGAAAGGTTTTATGTTTCTAAATTACGAGAATTTAAGAACAACTACTTAAGCCACAATGCTAATGGCACCATAACACAGGCAGAGTACACCACACTGATTGGAGACCTTCAAACCCTTGTACTAAAACTGGATCCCAGTAAACAAGATGACTTTGCAAGGATACAGAACAGAGCACTTGATGAACCACTGTGTAACAAATATTTTACATCTTTACTGGATATTTATGGCCTGTTAGAAAAGGTATAGTGTTCATATCCTCACCAGCGCTTTACTTATATATGTGATGTTATCAGATAAATAAACTACAAAGTTACCAGTTTAAAAAATTGAAAAATATTTCTAAAATACATTGCTGAAAGAGAAAGATCTTCATGGTTTCATTTTTGGGTCTAAATATAACCATTAAAACATGATTCTTTTAGGAGTCTGATTTAAGATATTATCTTAGTGGATTAAATCAACTGCTTCAGTGTTCACAGAGTCCCATGTTACAATGCATTTGTTTTTAATCATCCTATTACTGGTATTATTTTAATGTACAGATTGAGATCACTAGGACATTGTGTAAAAGGTCTTCAATATCAAAAGTTTCTTCTATGGACAGCTTTCAGGTATGCTGACTAAGTTTAATCAAATATTTTTTGTGTGTTAATTTTAGATTGGGAACAAAGTAGAGAATGTAGATACATCTACAACAAGAATCCTGACTACAGTGAACAGCAATGCTCAAATACTGGCTACAATGGGTATCAGCAATGATGCTTTAATTGCTAAAATAGAGGTATGTTTTCAAAATATAAGATTGCAAACTAATTATAATCATTAGTATATAATCATTGTATTTCTGAATTAAATTGTTTTAAGAATCAAACATTGTAAGTATATTGGTAAATATAACATCAGAAAAAAGATAGCTTTGAAATTGGTAATAAAACATTTTTATGTAAATCAATTTACCAGCGAATGACAGTGAAAAATTCACAGTCATGGAGCTTATTATAAAAAATGTTTTCTACATCTCGTTTTGTGCAATTGTACCGTTTAAATTTGTACAAATACAGTAAAATCTTTGTACAAGCTGAGTTTATTAATGGCTTCCTTGGTTGAACAACACGGGTTCAACAGTCGTTTATTTCAATGTTTTTCATTTCAACATGTGTCTTCCCAGAAAAAAAGCTAAATTATTTTTTCCATGACCTGTCATTTCTTCTCATTAGCATTGGCTGCAGATGGATGTTTGATGCTGACAAATTTATGATCATCGTGAGACGGGGAAATGATCATCATACATTTTTCCTGAATCCAACGTTTGAAATAATTAAAAGAACACCGCACTATTTTGCTTGATGATAGTATTTTCAGAAATTACAAGAATATCTTTTTTTTTAAAGCATTCACTTAATACTTTCTTACTTTTACACAAATTATTCATGTATTTTACAATAAGGCTCTACAAAGTTACAAGTCAGAACAGTTGTTATATGACCAGGCTGGATCGCATGCCAATTGTTGGGGGTACTTATGATTTGACATTCTGCGGCCCAGCTTTGATCATATTATTTTGCAGGGGAACTAACTCAGAGCTTTGGGTTGGTAGAGCATTAGGTCCAGCTTACTTTTGCAATACGGTTAATAGTCAATAAAACACTAAGTTGGATGTTCATATATTAATTATTCACAAAATAGATTAAAAAGATATGTTGTCAGCCAAAATTTATGTATTTGTATTGTAGAGAGCAAATTCAGTTTGAAGTTCAACCTCTTTGCAATAACCTTGTTTGTCAAATATGTTTGGCTTAATCCACCCTGAATTAATCCCCCGTCCATTTTGTTTTCGAGGAATATTTTAAAATAAGTGCAGAACCTTCAGTAAAAAAACAATCTGAAGACTTTTTCAATGGCCACAAGAAAACTTCATGAAAATGTTATTGACAAAACATTTACAGTATCACATAGAATTTGTAACTGATTTATAAGGCAGGGGCATGGAAATATTTTTGTCTCATGTTTAACTAAAATATTTACTCCACTCCCCTTCCTTGTAAGTCAGTTACAAATAGAAGTATTGACTTTTGGATATGTGAACCTCATGGGAAAAAATGATTTAATGAATGAATGATGTCATATTATTTTATAAGGATGCAAAAAATCTCACGAGTGTTGTGGCTCTAGGAAATATAAAACTATTTAAAATATGAATGTCTGCTTCACAACTTCTGTCATAAGAAAAGATGAAGGTGCAGATATTACACAAGAAATTTGTTATTTATTCAATTATTACTTACAACTTATGACACGTGGCACTTTGTTATGTATACCACCATGCAGGATTTGGCGACCATGTCGCAATCGTCTTATACTTAAAGTGATCTAGAACACAGAAAAAAACATATTTATGATATAAACATAATTTCATTAAATATTTGGAAAACAAACTAAATATTTCTCAATGTGTAAAAGCCAGGCTCTATTCTATGGTCTCCCTATGTTGTAGAAAGGCAACATTATCTTTTACTTTTATAACAGTATCTGCAATAACAAAAATTTCACATATATTCGAGTAAGGTCTTACCAATTAAATGTAAAACTGAGAGATCAAAACAAAGCTTGGTCACAACATGTTCAATTTAATCAGACTGTTTTTTCACCCCGACATGTAACACATATACATTTCATGCGTCCAAAGCACTTTTCTTGATTTACCATATTCCAGTTGCTTAAAATATTTGAGCATGTAGTAATACTGGATGTACTAATTTCAAACAGGATAATCTAAATGTAAAACCCACATTTAGGTATCACTTGGTCATCAACTCAAAAAATGAGGTTGTTTGTAAAAGTTATTTAGGTATTATCGTCGCTATTATTTTTGTTATGTTTATGTCTTATACCGTGTTCACACTATGAAATCTGCTCCGGGTCGAACCCGGGATAATTAATCCGAATTAATTACCCCAGTTCACACTTAATAAAAATTTAAACAAGTTTGGGATTTTCCCTCTCAACAGAAGTAGAAAAGTAAGCACCAAATTGTAACCTGCATCTGTCCACTGTCCACTGTACATATTTACATTTTCTATTTCATCACAGATGCATTATTTTGAATTCTGATTTTTTTTACCGTACTCCTGACCGCTTCGGATGAGTTCTACATCAACAGCTTTCTGTTTTTTACGTCACTTTATCCAAACTGCACCAATATTTAGCCCACATAAAAGCCACAGAAATCTTATAGGATTCATCGTTTGTCATTATGCAGGTTTTTCAACATAGATAAATACACTTATATCCCTCTTGCTGCCGCTAATTTAATATGGGTTATATAATTTGTGACCCAGTAAATACGGTAACTGGACGTCTATCAAATTATGACGTCATTCGATATGTGACGTCACGTAATTGTTACGTCACATTGAAGACCTATTCAAGCAAACGTCACTATAGCAATAACCTCACATTAACTTCACTTTGCGTTCACATATAGAAGAGAGGTAGTTAACCCTGGTTCGCCCCACATTAACTCCACCTCAAATGAGGGGAAATTTTAATCCGGGTTTGCCCCGGGTTTAGGTGTTCACACTACCTAAATTTAACCCGGATTAACTCATTCGGGTCGAACCCGGTTTAAATGGGCATAGTGTGAACGGGGTATCAGTCTTAAATGACGCAAAAATTAAACTTCAGGTAAAGTCTTAACTGTATGCATGTTAAATGACTAAAAAAGGCTGAAATACTCTATTGTAGCAATTTGAGTGCTGTAATTTGACACCAAACATAGTCAACAAAATTGTTACATAAAAAATTAATAAAATACCGCTGGATTGACAACAACACTTTAATGAACTGCAAGTTTTATTGTGTTGACTAGTTTCGCCGATTAGATCGGCGTCTTCAGGACAAATTATATAGAAATTACAATCCCTGAAGTATAAAAAGTGGTATCTAAATTTTAACGTCATAATGTGTTTACTACATTGTCTTTGTTGTTCCTAATTACCAATATATGAATGAAATGAAACCATTATCCATTTCTTCCTAATTTGGACAACACTTTAGGGCCCTAAAGTGTTGTCCAAATTAGGAAGAAACTTTATACAAACTGTACACTGACATTGTACTTACATTCATGTTACACATGTTTTTTAATTTACTACCTTTATGTACATACGTTTGTAATTTTTTCATTTCATTCATACATTGGTAACCAGGAACAACAAAGACAATGGAGTAAACACATTATGACGTTAAAATTTAGATACCATTTTTTTATACCTCAGGGATTGTAATTTCTATATAATTTGTCCTGAAGACACCGATCTAATCGGCGAAACTAGTCGACACAATAAAACTTGCAGTTCACTAAAGTGTTGTTGTCAATCCAGCGGTATTTTATTTATTTATTTTTATTGACAACCCTGCATACCATCGGGTATCCTCTTTAGTGACTCTACCTTCACTTCACCACAAAGGCGTTGGTTCAGCAGCTTCTTATTTATAAAAAATTAATGTAACATGGTAACTAACACCAAATGTGACCAATTTTCATTTTAATGGTTATGATTTCTAAAATCTAAATTTCACATGCCTTTCAGTAATAGGAATAAATTTACTAATGCATAGCCCCATTGCTTTCTATGTAAAAATCTGTAATTTCAAGCATTAATGACTACTTTGTCTTATTAGTTCAGCTAAATTGACAGTCGTTTCATGTCAAAACTATACCTTATACTGACTTGTGCTGAAAAATTCAACATTCATTAAACTACATATAAGAGCATGTCTGGTTCCCAGACGTTTGGTAGTACAAAAACAGGTACTTCTGATCTGGACAACACAACAAATTATTTCATTTCAGGAAACAGAACAAAACCTAAACTATTTATTTTAAAAATTTTGAAAAACTTATTGCTTGAATTTTAGAAACACAATGATGTTCTTTCCTTTAATTCATGATTTTCTCTGTTTGTAGGATTTGCTACAAAATATGATATGCCAGAGATGCAAGGAGATGATAAATAATCAAGGTAAGCCGTTCTGTATTTTGTCCAATTATCTTTCAAACAGATGAAGTGATTTCACTTTGTGGATAATCTTAATTTCCATACAAAATTTGCAGATATTAATTTCTGTCTATCTACATGAGTTTACTCTTTTAAAGAATAATTAAGATTACTTCATGTATCTTCTAAGCATGTAACCTGGTATATTTATCCCCATTAACCTTTAGGTGTCAGACCACCAATTACTCCCTCCAATTTAGAACGTATGTAAAAGTAGCCCTACTCTGACACAAAATAGTGCTTTTGATGTCATTGTTTACTTAAACTATCCAACAAATTTGCCGATATGAAACTTTTGGTGAAAGAGAAATATATTTAGACCATTTTGAGCCAAAATTCACTTGTCTATGAGTTTGCATTAAAAATTAAGGATTTCCAGAAAACCAGGGGTTATTTTTGGAGTACCTCTGTTCAAAGGTCAGTTTTTTTTCTTAGAAGTCTTTAAAGGTATGTTGAAAATTGGCATGTAGAAAGCTGATACATGTACAATTCAGGATATACCTGGTTTCTATGAAGTTAAACTTAAGGTAAAATATTTAGAAAGCTGTGAAAATTGCAAAATTTGGTTGAACAGATAGGGATTTTTAATTGGTGGTCTGACACCTTAACCAAGCAATAATTGACAAATCCTCAAATATTAATTATGTCTAAAATTAAGTTCAACAATACCTCAGCCAATAATTGTTGTAGCCTTTGTTATTCAGTGGTTTGGTTTTTGGTTTCTGTCTGTTTTGTTTCATTGTTTTATTTATCAGGCCGTTTGTTTATTCTTTTGAATTGGTTCATATTTTGTCATGTAGGGGTCTTTTATGGCTGCCTATACAGAATGGGTTCCACTTATTTTTATAAGGCTGTACAATGACATACAGAGGATAGCTGTCTCATTTGCAATCATACCACTGCTGCTAAATTTGATACTTATTACATTACTGTTATGAGCAATAATAACTTTGTTGCTGAGATAATTGTGACCATACATTCTATACAATTTCAATAGAAACTATATAGCTTGGGATTGTTACCTCAAGATCATTCATCCAAATAATAAATGTACATCTAAAACAACTGACTGAAATGTTAGATTTACTTTTAGTGTAATAAAAGCATACTATCCCAAAAATGTCCCATTTAATAATTATTCAGCTTTAAGAGATAAGATAAATGCTGTTCCATTTAAACATATGATGTTCTCAGAGAAGGCACTTACAAAATGGGGTAACCACCCATAGAGGCATATGAAAAAACTCACTAATATTTTCACTGTACCTGACATCACACCCGTCCATATTTGCAATTTTAAAGTGCCTTGTCAGGCTCTAATGTATGTTTTAATGGGACAGCCCTTAGCAATTGTAGCTATTAAAATTACAATTTACACAAATTATGAGTGGGACCTCACACTCCCCTTAAAAAAAGAGAAAAAAAACATTCCTTACATGTACAGAACAGTTTACATTATGAGTACTGTAAAAAAAAAAAGAAAAAAAGTACGTAGCATTTAATGAGAATTATACTATACCCAAATTACAGACATTTTTAGATATGCAACATTAAACCACTAAAATCTACTTGAATGAAGTAAGGATTTATGACAACAGATTTTAAACACATAACATTACTAATAGTTTTGTTGTATATCATTTTAATATATATATTAAAATAACAAATTTTTTCAGGACTTAGTATAAAAATATGGAGATGTGGTATGATTGCCAATGAAAGAACTGTTAGATATATTCATAGCATTTGTTATTTCTTTTTAATTATTATTAAATTTGCTTAATTTGAACAATAATTAAATAGTGAATTATTCTGTTTCAGAAAAGGAAAACTCAAATAAACCCTATAAACTAGGAAATTCTATCTTCACACTACATCATGAGATAAACCTTACATCAATAGTTAGTGATGGCTTGGTAGGATATGTATCAGATATGATGATGATGGATGATGGTAGAATAGTGATATGTTTACATAACCAGAGCAGACTACTGATCTGTAATACAGATGGATCACAGGCAGACAGTATACCTGTACAGAGTTTCCCATTGTGTGTTACAGCAGTCAACAACTCTACAGTAGCTGTTGTACTGTATAGTAGTATCTGTATAGAGATGTATGACATAAACAATAAACTCAAACTTAAATCAATATCACTACCTGGAATGTGTTGGGTGAGTTGCATTACAACTATAAACAACAAGTTAGTTGTAGGTGGTTACGACAGACTACAGATCATAGATCATCAGACAGGAGAGGTGGTACAGACAATAAAGACTGACTGTAGTCCTTACAGGTTACATTGTTCTGGTGACAGAATATTCTACTGTGGTAACAACTATAACAACAACAAGCTGTACAGGTACAGTTATACTGATGACAGACATCACACCCTAACATTGCCATCACCACCCTATAGGATGACTACACTACAAGATGGCAGTCTGTATGTGGGGTGTGAGGATGGATCAGTACAACATGTGTCATCTGATGGTAAACAGTATAAAACTGTTACAACAGAGGACCAAAAAAAACTAAAATTTCATTCCATGTCATATAATTCAAAGCAAAGAAAACTTGTCACAACATATGCAAGTAAAAATCAGACCTTAACATTCAAAGTCTTCTATGAGAAATAATACAGTCTTATGTTATCATGTTAATGTTTCATAACTGTATAAGTGCTTTAGAAGGAATAAGAGATGAAATATTTGCATGCATGGATGGATGATAGAACAAGTTTCTTCATAAAACATAGACATAAATATGATAGGGGAAATTGATAAATATTCTATGAGTCTGTCAAAAGAGATGATTTTAAGTATGAACCTTTCCCTTTTACAAAGAGTGTATAAATTAATATTTTGTTAATCAAAGGAAACTGAAAAATTGCTGACTGAAACTGAACAGGTGAATAAAAGCATTATGTTCTAAAGTAAAATAGAACGTGAAGGTTTCATGAATATAAGTTATTACTTTTGTCTTAGACATATGAACATTATACAGTACCATAACATTGTTTAAATATCTTCAAAATTTAATTTGAGCTAGTTGCACGTTTTAGTTGTTTTAAATAAACATTGCTGTTCCATGATTGGTATCCAGTATGGCCTGTGATATGGACCATTGTTTTAAGGACAATGTGAATAATCATTAAAAAAATAAATCAAAATCCTAAGCATCTTTAATTATTAACAGTTATAGTGAAGCTTAACATAAATTGTACTTATAAACAGAACTTTGAAAGGGATCAAACTCCTTTTTATACGACCGCAAAAAAATTTGTGGTCGTATATTGGTATCAAGTCGTCGGCGGCGTCAGCTTTGTCCGAAAACATTTGATTTCCGGACAATAACTTTAGTATAGGTGAATAGAAATCTATGAAATTTTAACACAAGGTTTGAAACCACAAAAGAAAGGTTGGGATTGATATTGGGGGTTATGGTCCCAACAGTTTAGGAATTAGGGGCCAAAAAGGGGCCCAAATAAGCATTTTTCTAATTTCCAGACAATAACTTGTTGAACATTGTATGGATCTCTCTGAAATTATACCATAAGTTTCCATACCACAAAGGGATGGTTAGGATTGGCTTTGAGGGGTTATGGCTCAAATTGTTTAGGAATTAGGGGCAAAAAAGGGGGAAAAACAAGGGTTTCCTGGTTAATGGACAATTACTTAAGTATTGGTCTTTGGATCTCTATGAAATAGATATTGGACCATTAAGCATTATATAAGGGATAGCATTATATAAGGGATAGCATTCAATGGATTCATGATATTTTACAGTATATAGAAGAAAACAATATTTTGGGATTTTGATTTTGAGAAAGCTTTTATTCTTTATGTTGGGACTTTTTGCTATAAGTATTACAATTTTTCATGCTATTAGTATTACAATTTTTTTCATATGCTGAATCTAACTGTTTATTTGGTTGTTGGACCCATTTTCTAATTGGTCCAAATTTTGGCCTGAAGGCTATAAAATTTGTTTTGTTTGATTTAATAAACATTAAATAATTTAAAAGATAATAATTACAATGTTATATTTGAATTACCTCCCTTACATTGCTTTTAAATTATGTAAAGTTGTCAGCTAGTTCTAGTATGAATTATTTTTTAGCTCTTTCTAGAAACATCAAATACTGTGATGGAAGTATATATAATATAATAATAGTGTATATCAAAGGGTTCAGTGGTAATAAATTTTCATATTCAAAATTGTTTATTTGTGATCAACATCATTTGTTTGTGTTTTTTTTAGCATTAAGAGTTACCTCCCTTACAATGGTTTTGTTATAAAGAAATGTTGTATTGTCTTGAGGTGATTAGCTGCCAATTTATTTTTATACAACTGCAAAAAATTTTTGCGGTCGTATATTGGTATGACGTTGGTGTTGTCGTCGTCCGAAAGACACTTTGGTTTTCGCACAATAACTTTATAGTTTAATTGAATGGATCTTTATGAAATTTTACCATAAGGTTCAATACCACAAAAGGAAGGTTGGGATTGATTTTGGGGGTTATGGTACCAACAGTTAAGGAATTAGGGGCCAAAAAAAAGCATTTTTGTAACTTCCAGACAATAACTTGTGTGCTAGTGTATGGATCTCTCTGAAATTGTACCACAAGGTTCCATATCACAAAGGAAATGCTGGGATTGATTTTAGGGGCAATTGCCTCAAAATTTTATGATTAGGGACAAAAAAAAGGGGCAAAAAACAAGCATTTTTCTTGTTTCATGACAATAACTTGTGTGTAAGTGTATGGATCTTTCTGAAATTGTAGTTTGGGGGTAATTGCCAAAAACGTTTAGGAATAAGGGGCCATAAAGTGGCCAAAAATAAGCATTTTTCTAGTTTCCAGACAATAACTTGTGTTCAAGTGTATGGATCTCTCTGAAATTGTACTGCAAGGTACCATACCACAAAGGAAAGGCTTGGATTGATTTTGGGGGTAATTGCCTCAAAATTTTAGGAATTAGGGGCAAAAAAGGGGCAAAAAACAAGCATTTTTCTAGTTTCAGGACAATAACTTGTGTGTAAGTGTATGGATCTTTATGAAATTGTACTACAAGGTTCCATATCACAAAGGGAAAGCTGCAATTGAGTTTGGGGGTAAATGCCCAAAACGTTTAGGAATTTGGGGGCAAAAAGAGGCCAAAAACAAGCATTTTTCTATTTTCCAGACAATAACTTGTGTTCAAGTGTATGGATCTCTCTGAAATTGAACTGCAAGGTACCATACCACAAAGGGAAGGCTGGGATTGAGTGTGGGGTGATGAATCATAAGGGGGTTCAAAAAATTTGGGGGGATTTTTTTTTTCCTTTTTTTCCATTTTTTTTCTTTAAAATTTTCCATTTTAAATTGGTTATTTCTGATTTATATATAAAAGCAAATAATAATGATATGGTTTGAATAGGTAAATTAAAAAATTTTAAGTTCTTAGACCACATTCATTCTGTGTCAGAAACCTATGCTGTGTCAAATATTTAATCACAATCCAAATTCAGTGCTGTATCAAGCTTGAATGTTGTGTCCATACTTGCCCCAACTGTTCAGGGTTCGACCTCTGCAGTCGTATCAAGCTGCGCCCAGCGGAACATTTTATTATGTATTTTACTGATAAATGGACTTCATTTTTTTACTGTTTAAAAGTCTTGGAGGTTTTTTTAAAGTTAACAAATAGACTTTTGTTTTGCAGTTAAAAAGATACAGTCTTTGGTTTAAGTTTTTTACTAGACTGGTACCTGGCACTTATTGATAAGCCTACTGAATATTTTACGGAGGGAACCAACCTAAAGTTTTACAGTTATCAATAACCTTGTCAAACCTTCGTGGAATTTTATGAAATTTGGGCAGAAGCTTAGTTTAATATGATCAAAATACAGTATTCAGAGCAAAAATTTGAAAATATTTATTATAATTTTCCTGTATTTTACTGATAAATGGACTCACATTTAAAATCAGATACATTCAGGGGTTAGAGTTTGTTAGACATCAATAACTTTGTCAAACCTTCATAAAATTTTATGAAACTTTGGCAGAAGCTTTCTTATGATTAAGAGATAATGTCTAAAGCAAACTTTTGAAATTATTTTTTTTCCATTTTCAGTATTTTTCTGATGTATGATTTTTACAGTTAACATTTACAGACAGTCTTGGATTATACATTCTTTAACATGATAAATTTGTACACCTTCATTGGTTGTTATGAATTTTGGACAGAAGCTAATCTTCAAGACCATGAAATAGCATCTAAAGAAAAGGGTTGAATTGTTTTTTAAATTTTGTATTTTACTGATAAATGGACTCATTGTTTAAGTCAACATTAAACTTTTACACTGGCAGCAGCAATCGCAAGCGAGACACAGGGTTCCGCTGAACCTTACCCTTACGAATTGTTGTATAAAGTAATGTCTTTTGTCATAAAATGATGATTCTTATTCAAGTCCTATTTGAAACAGCAGCTTCACATTTAAGAACAAAAAGGGGCTTATATTGTAGAGGGTGTACTCAAGTTAACAGTAAATCATTCTTTGATTGAACGCAGGTGATCTTCTCTGTTTGTTGTTTTGTATATATATATATATGTAGGACTCTAAAGTGCGATGGTACTCCAAAGTGCGATGGTCACGCTAAAGTCTGATGGTCTACGCTAAAGTGCGATGGTGTCAGACGCTAAAGTGCGATGGTTGTTTGTTTTTAAGTGCGATCTGAAAACACGTTAAAGTGCGATGGTATGACACGCTAAAGTCTGATGGTGTAACGGAAATGTGGTTCAGGCAATGGGTTTCGTTTGCTGCTGAGTCCCTATTACTTTTTCGTTTATTGTTTTATTTATACATCAAGTCGTAGTCTTTCTCTTTTGAATTGTTTTACACTGGTCATTGTATAACCCTATATAACTTGTTATATGCGGCATGGGTCAAGGCTTTACGTTGAAGGCCGTATGATTATTAGTTGCATACATAAAAGGACATTTGGGTTTGGATGGATAGTTCATACTACATCTTCTTATATTTATTTAAAGTACGATCATAGTTGTCCAAAAAGTGTAATGGTTACATTGCAGTAGTTAGTATCAGAGACATATAATACAATTATATTGTATTATATGTCTCTGTTAGTATATCCAGAATTTAGTGGTACATGTAGTCGTTTGTTGGTATATTTCATATTTGCTGTTCGTTTATTGTTTTGTATTTAAATTAGGTTGTTATTTTTACTCGTTTGAAGTGTTTTACACTGGTTGTTTTGAGGCCCTTTGGTTTTATTAGAATACTATGTGGTGTAAGCCAATGCTCCGCGTTAAATGTCATACTATAACCTAAAGTTGCATACATTAATGACATTAGGTCTTGGATAGAGAGTTGTCTTATTGGCAATCATATGATGTTACTACATATCTGTTCGTTATTTTCTGTCTAGTTGACGTATATTCATTATTTAACAGAAAAAACAAACCATATTTAAATTTTTTTATAGAATTATTCAATTAGAAAGTAAAAAATAAGACTTTTTTTTGGCACCGCAGCTGTTTTGATTAATTTCTTTTTACAATTTTACAAATTAAGTTAACCTCTTCCAGCATGGACTAACATTCTCGTCATTATGCTGTTTAACGTTGCTAACGTCGATACTTTTTCGGAAAAACGCACTTTAGCGTGTTCAAATGAAGAGCACAGACCATCGCACTTTAGCGTAGGCCAACGCACTTAAGCGTGACCATCGCATTTTAGCGTCCCCATCGCATTGTAGAGTCCTACATATATATATATATATTTATATATATACTCCTTAACTTGAAACATGTGATAACCGATAGTGAATGGGTTTTTATAAATGTAAATAGAAATTTTCCGAATGATTTTATTCTTATCAATAATTATTGTGGACTACTTCAATTGATGTTTAATTTATTTCATATTATTACAGTCATATTGTATTACTACATTTGTACTAAAGCATCCTCATTATTGTTGTTTGTCACCATTATCTGTCAGTTGACATTTTGTTTCTTGGTTATATCTTCTGATATAAATGATTGATAACTAAAAGTTTGATACATTCTTAAGGAAGTTCGCTACTCCGTTTCAAAATAACAACCTTTTCATAACACTAGTATATATTGATAGGGGATTAATAAAGGAACCAAAAGAGAGAAAAAAATATAGGTCCGTGTGCTTCTTTTCGAGATATTAGCCATTGAAATTTTGGCGGGAAAATGTTCTCTCTTGATTTTTCATAGCTTTATCATTGACAAGTTTAAGTTCTCAAAAATTATTAAAAAGTAACAAAGATTTTTACAGATGGCTTATAATTAAACATGTTAAAGATTTATAAAAAGAAAAACGGGGGTTAGTAGGCAAAATATTTTAAGGCATTCAAATGGATAAAAACCAGAGGATCCCGAAAATCTGACAAAAATTCCAAAACATGACAGATGAACATCCTTAACATTAATACTTTTTTGCATTTTTTTTTATTTTTCAAAATGAAACATTTAAATAACATAATACGGTATTAGACAAAAATTCGAAAAATTAAGTCACCCTTGTAAGATTGGTCAAGTAATAAGGATATCAGAAAATGTATTACAATTGATTTTGTTAACTAAATGCTACTTCTAACAATTGCCACTTCTGATCTAATTTTACTTTTTAAACAGCGGTTATGAAAAAAAAAGAGTATTTGTCTATACCTATCCAATATTTTAAATATTCTATTCCATCATATTTTGTGGGTAATATGTTCTTACATCTACATTTGAATATATAATTTTAAATATCGACAAAATATTATTTACTGTTTTACTGTTAACACAAAACTCAGACACACCGAAAAATAACTTTCTTTTGCTCTAAAAGGCAAGGAAATGTCATAATTTCTAATCCAGTCTAAAATAAATAGCCAGAAATTTTGTACATTACACTCCCAAAAAATGTGAAAAATGCTTTCTCTGATTTCTGAACAAAAAGTACTTAGTTCAGTTTCTTTTAATTTGCATTTAAATAAAAAGGAATTATATAGTAGAATTCGATGAACAATCTTTGAATGGAAATTTTGTAAAGACGAATCTCTGGTTATAACAAAAGGCATTGAGTAAATAGTATAAATTTAATCTTCAATCTGCAAAGATAAAGCCAATATTTTATTATCTTCCAAAAATAAGTATTAAAAAATTAAAGGATTTTGGTTCTTCTTTAACTTTATCTACCATTTTATTTTCAGTATTGTCCAACTTAGAACTACCTTCTATCATACTTCTCCATCTTTTTGAAATTGCACTAATAATACCACAAAACTCAACTTATTGATAGCATATTTTTCTTCAAATTCTTCATACGAAATAATGTGTTATTTTCTGACACCAAATCGTTTGTAGATAATACACAATTTTCAATATATTTGAACAAGAAAAGTCAAAAATCGTAAGTCTGATATAAGTCAATTTCATATTTGTTATTTAAAAAAAAATTGATATAGAAACTGAACATCCAAGTCTTAGTCCTCGTTTTCAGCGACCTGACTTCAGTTTTCACAAAATTAGCAATCTTTTACGTTTTTGGGTTGAAAATGTCAAAACTGAAAATGGAAAGAATCTTCATTTTCCTAGAATTTGATGTTATTACTACAGAAATATCGTGATAAAATTTTGACTTATTTTAAAAACACTTGCAATAAAAACTTTCACTCAACAGAAAATGGCATCGGTGTCCGAGTGGTCTATATGTAACAGTCAATTTAGTAAATTATTTCAAAACTTTGTTGGAAAAATACATCTCTCACTATTATTATCTTGAAATCAGAAAAGAACATGTTTTATGAAAAATATTTTATATCAGACATTCCTGTTATTAAAGTAACTGATAACCATACATAAATATTGTAGTAATTCTTGACTAGTTTATATTTAAAAGAATTATCATGTTTGAACTTTTCAACGTTTGAATTGCTATTGATATTATTTAAATTGACTACACCCCACTGTTTGTTTGTGACATCGTGAACTGTCTGTTGAATTTTTTATTGCACATATTCAAATAAAATATCATATAAAAAAAATAGTTCAATTACTGTATCACTAGCCTGTCAATGCTGAGGTTTTGGGTTTGAACCCACCATATGGCAGGTGCGTTTCGACGTCAATCTTAATTGACTAGGTAAGATCAAGAACGTATAACTAACATATACGTCCTTGGAAAGATTGACTAGGATTGTTAGTTTTCCCGCGAAGGTCAGTGGTTCTCATCAGATACTCTGGCTTCCTCCACCAATAAAAAGTTCCTTCAAGAAATGGACAAGAGTGCTGATTGATATTTTAGTTTAGTGCCATTGGATGTTGGATGTGTACCGATTGATATTTTAGTTTAGTGCTATTGAATGTTGGATGTGTACTGATTGATATTTCAGTCTTAAATACATGATATTTTTACTGGTTGTTATTGGCTTTGAACTAGCTATCAGTAACTGCGAGTACTCTCAGATCTGTATTTTGTGCCTTTTGTTGTGAGAGATGTATAAATTCCCTGCCACGTCCGATCTGTGTTTTTGTTAGTTGTTTTTATTTCTGCTTTGTATTGATCTTATGAGTTGGACCCTTTTCAACGGATTATTATTGTTTGTTCTTATGTTGTCCTGTTACTCCACTGTGCCAGCTTAGGAGGAGAGGGTTGGCGCCTTTAAACATGTTTAACAGTGGCACATTCGTTATGTGCCTGCCCAAGTAAGGAGCCTGTAGTTCAGTGGAAATCTTTGTTTCATGTCTGTCATGGAAGCCAGAGTGCCTGGAGAGAACCACTGACCTTCGCGGGAAGTTGTGTAAGGTAGGGATTCTGCCTTACTATTTAGCAGTCGTTACTAAAGACAAAAGATGGCTCAACTGTTGCTTGTCTAACTTCCAGTGCCAAATATTTCAAGCAATTTAAGACATCCCTAATAAGGCCAAAGGAGTGCGCTACTGATGCAAGGGTTTGATTGCCGGATGGTGTAAATATATGGATGACCAGACTGTTATATCCTCTTCCATCCTTGAGGTGTTTAATACAGAAGAATACATATCAATATTTTTTTCTTATCTGCAGATAAATGGTTTAATTAGGTATTCGAAGCTGGAATTAAGTAACAAATACAGCAGTTCAATTATTTTTAAAACAAATGTTGCCTGATATAATTTTAAATATATATTCGATGGTCTGCCA